CATGTGAACTGGAAGAACACTCACCATTCACAATGAACACTGGGGGCTCTGTTCAGAATTACACTGAGACTGGACAAAAAGGGGAGGGGGGAGGGAAATGACACATTTTTAGCACCATCATTCCCCCTCCCTTAACAAAACATGTGCTAGCAGTGGGGTATAAACATTTCATTCACAGGCAGCAACAACTGTTTTAGTTTCTTTAAAAATTGGTAATAAATAATAAAGTGGATGTTTATTTTGCAAATGACAATGGAGTCAAATGGTACAGCTGTGCAAAAGACCCAGATTTGAAGGGTGGAATGTGATTAACAGACACACATAGCCCTGTTTATGCACACCCTGAACCAAACTCATCTCTGGATTGTGCATCATCTGCCCAGGACAGCTGCATGAATAACAACAACAAAAACTAAGAATGTTGCAAACCTAGATCTCTGCGCACAAAATATACCAAATAATCTATTAGCAGACTACAGCTCTTCATTCTCAAGGAACAGTTAAAGGAATCATTTTTAAAAGTCTGACGATAAACAAACACATAATACAGAAGTAGAGATTCTATATTTATATCTTCAAATATTCCAGGAATAGCAATGTATGCCCAGCATTTCATGGATGGCAACACCACATATCCATACATTAGACTAGATACATATATACAGTACATAGCATTACTTGCAAGCAAGGGCAGCAGCAAGATCTCTTTTAAGCCCCTGAGAACAAATGTAGCCACACAGTCCGACTTCTTAATCTCTTAACATGCTACCTGATCTAGCTCAAGCCCATCTGTAGAAAACCAAACCAAATTCAAGTGCCTAATGTAGCTTCCCTCAAACTCCCTTATTCAGGCAATGGAAATTTCCTTCCTCTCTACCCAATTCTCAAGCAGAATTGAGGAAAGACCATTACCCCCCATCTATTAATGGATGCCTTCTGTTGGCAATGGGTCACCTATTCAGTTTTCACTCAGGATATTTTATTTGGTTGAAAGAGGAGGAGGAGGAACATTCAAAATATTTTTAAAACTTTTATGATTTTTACCCAAGGAAGCTACATTTAATAGGGCTTTTCTTATGCTATTACAAAAATATACCTAATTTATGGTATGTTTATAAGATAATTGAAATGTATTGATTTAAAAACAGAGTCTATCCCCAATATTTTAGAAGGACACAGTCCCAGAGTGCACCAATGAACAAAAATACATATGTAGATGAACTTTGCCTCAGATATACACCACTGATACCAGAAGGAAACCAGGAAATGACATCTACCAGTGGTGGCGAACCTATGGCACACGTGTCAGAGGTGGCATGCAGAGTCCTCTCTGGGGGAAAGTGTGCCGTCGCCCCAGCTCAGCTTCACTGTGTGGCATTTCTTTCGTCATTTTGTCAAACAACAAAACAGAAGCTCGTGAAAGAAAAAGATCTCACCTCTTGCCAGTGTTGGGATGCCCCGCCTCCCGCCTGCCAGCTGGTCTTAGGGTCTCTGCTGCGCATGTGCAGGCACCCATATGTGTGCCCACACGCCTTGCAGTTTGGGCATGTATGCACGCAGTTTGGGCACTCGGTGCCTAAAAGGTTCACTATCATTGACATATACCAACACTTCCCAGGTTCATTTCTCTCCAAAAGAGCATTTTATTGCTCATCTTCACAATTTTTTTTAGTTCTTGTCAATCCTGACTCAGTCTTGCAAAGGATAAAGAAACTAAATCAAGAATTTCATTCCAAAAAAAGACCAATGTGAGGATCCACTGAAAAAGTTTGAGTCCCTGTTGTCAAAACCTTTACTTGAAATCACCATCACCCACCACAGGCTTTCTGCCCCATGACTCAGCTGCACTTTGTACACTTGAACTCTAAGTGTTCATAAGAAGCTACACTGAGCATGCTCAGTTGTTATGGTTGCTAAAAATAAATAAATAAATAAACTGACATACTTCTGAAATCAGCAATGCATTTTTCCTGACTAACTGGTCTTAGAACTTTTCTACTGAACTGAGATGGGGAAACTTGGACCTGTGGCTTGAACGCAAAGGCCATTCTCTCCCTCCTACCTCTCCCTCATCAACTAAAGAAACATTTGCAGTATTAGGAACACATGCAAAGCACTCCTGCTCCAGGTGTCCTGCATCTTTCTCCCTGAAAATTCCCCAATTGCCATTGTTAAGGGTCTTTTAGGGAAGGCTTTTTATCCCAAGGCTTTATCCTTGAAGCTACTGTTCCCTAGGAGCTGGATGACAACTCCAAAGGTGAAGATGGAAGTTCAGTCCAAACCATTCAATTGATGGGAGGAGATTGAAAGGAACCAGGCTTTCAGCCAAGTCAGAATCCATTCCCATGTAATGTCCTAGAGCACGGGTGTCAAACTCGCAGCATCATGTTGCCATCATGTGACATTTCACAATGTTTTTTCCCTTTCACGGAGCTGGGGTGGGCATGGCCTACACATGACGCATCTGGCCTATGGGCCGCCAGTTTGACACCCCGTAGAGTGCTCAAAGCATTAGCATACAAGATCCCCATTCTTTTAAAAAAGAAAATCACTGGTCTTTATTTCAAATAGGAAATCTAATACAGTTAAGAGTGCGGTTTGTCTAATAAATCCAAGGTAGACATGAAGCTTGAATGAGCAGCCTCTCAATGTGCTACTCACAATGCAATCTTATGCAGGTCTACTCAAAAGTTAGCTGAAGTTTGTTTATATAAGAAAAATGTGTTGCCTTTCAGCATTGCTTCCCACACAGTTTACACAAACTAGACAAAGTATAAAACATCTTAAATCATCACTCTAGAAATTCTTGAAAAATGGTTTTAACATGTAACAATGACTCCACACATTGGGTATTATCTCAGAAAACATACCTCCCCTTTTTCAGGTTGCTTTCTGCCCAACCTCAAACAGATACTTGATCTCAAAAATACAGCAGCCCTTCCAATCTGGCACTCTTTTAGAACAAAATGTCCAAAATTCCTTAGTTGCAAACCCAAAACATTTGAAAGGAGCCAGATTGGGAAAAGCTAGTATACAAGATTGCAGACTTTAGTACTCTGAATATATTAGTATTTTATAGTAATACAAGATATAATATAGCAGCATTACATGGCAAGCTATGTGTATATTGTGTATATATTGAGATCAGTATAAAGTTTTCATTGGCAGCTTTTGCAGATATTTTATTATTCTTGAACCCATTGTTTAGCCCAGTGGTTTTCAATTTTGGTAATTTTAAGATGTGTGGGCTTTTAAAAAATTATCCTCTCTCCCTCTAGACAAGTATAAACAATCTGGATAAGTTACCACCTCCTCTCATATTTTAATTTTTTTTTAAAAAAATCTCTTCCTCCCATATCTCATACCCTATCAATAATCAAATTATAAAAACACTATCCTTTAGTTTGCATTATTGTAGCGTTTTATTTTTGTTCTGTATTTGTAAACTTTAATAAAATTATTGTTAAAGAAAAAGGAAGAATTCTCCAGGCAGCTTGCTAGGAATTGAAGTCCACACATTTTAAAGTTGCCATGGGTTGAAAAATTCTGGTTTAGCCTATCACACTGCATATATAAAAGGAGGTTTAAGTGGATGTGTACAAACCTTCTCTTGGTCATAAATCGCAAGTTTTAAGTAGTCGTGCTTTGCTCAGCCATGGTCTAATCAAAGCAATAGAACTAGTTAGAAGTACACCACATAATTCACTATAAACTATCATTTTCAAATCACAATAGCTTGATCAGCATAACATGCCAGTACCAAATAAATGTGTATGCTTATGTGAATAATTACCATTCTCTCTTAAGCTAACTCTTCACTGTTGACAATAAGGAGATAATAACATGGTAATACATAACAGGGCTGATAAAAATTATTGGGGTAATATATGTGAAAAAAAATCTAAAATACATTACATAAATGTCATCTCTTGTAAATCTTTGTCAGTATCTGTACAAGGATTTTGTGATGGTGGCTTTAGAGAACTTAAAAAAAACTTTTATGTACTGATGTTAAAACTTTTTTTCACTGTTGAGAAAAATGACTTTTTTCCCTTGCTCTTTAGAGGAAAAACAATTTGTAGTCTTCTAGTGCTGTTGGACTTCCAGACTCTTTAGTCAAAGGCAGTGTGGAAAGCAATGAGAATGAGGGTAGATCCAGTATAATTGTTTCTAAAAATCAATTTCCTCCATCTCTTCTTTAACACATGCAAGATGAACATTAATCCTTGTTTCTTACATATCATGAGTTTGCTACCTGGATACTTCAATAATTTAATCCTTTCTCATAGAGGAATTAGCAATATAAACAAATTCTAAAGTATCAATTTAAACATGTACATATTTTCTACAGTAAAATAATATTTCAACCTATTGGCAAAGTCACAAAGAACTACCTGAAGTTTTTGCTGAAAAACACATCAGTCACAAGTTCTTATGAAAGAATGAGCTTCGCAAAATTGCTAAAACTGATGTAAGTCATATAAATACACACACAAGCACATATGCACACCCTCAGAGGAGCAAAGGCAAGAATTATTCAACATCCTTCACAAGGTAGCATTAGGCTTCTTCTGCACACTGCTGAAAAGACAGAGGAAATCCTATTGCCCCCCAAAAGCCTAGGAAATCCAGACTCTACGTGACCTGACTTAGTTATTTGACAGCAGGTTTTATGGGAGGGAGGAAAAAGACATTTACAATCATTCATGCTACCCGGAGTTACAGCAAAGCTTATGCTGAATGAGGTTGCAGGGGGGGGGGGGGGGAAATATCACCAGGAAGTTACTACCGGGTGTTGCCGTTAAGAATGTTGTTTTGGAAGAGCGATTTCTATACACCATCCAAAATGGAGAGAAAAAACAACAACCCCAACCCACCCAACCTTTCAAATATGACTATGCATCCCCATATACATCAGAGAACAATGTGGCATTCAAAATGGACTGGATGCACCAAAAGGGAGAGGAGGAGAAAGAGGAGACAAGGCAGGGAGAACTCACCAGGACTGTTGGCTTCGTTTTCCAGAACGTGCAGTTCTGTGCAGTCGGCCAGGGAATGCTCAAGGCAGAGCTGAAGGAAACGGGCCTGGCTACGAGTCACTCGCTTCAGTAAGGAAAGCAAAGCAACCGTCTGTTCACACTCATTCCAGCCTTTGAACCAACCTGCCAATACTCCAACCTGGTCTCGAAACATCATGGTTGGTGCAAGTGAACGTCCGCGTGCAGTATCGAGAACAGGGTGGGAAAAACCTGTGCAGGGCACTCCCTGATAGATATATTTTGCAAGGGGAAAAAAAGTAGGAGAAATCCCCTAGGAGTTCCTTTTTTTTTTCTTCCCACCCACGCCCTTTTTTAAACCTCTATTTTACAATGTTGTTAACTGCGGAACTAGGACAGATGTTTGCTTGCTCTTCTTCTTCTTCCTCTTCCTCGCGTGTCCGAAATGCCAGTGGCTGCTTCTTAATTCTGCCAAAGACGATGGTGACACATGGTGGCAAGGGAAAACAGACACGCTGCGTGGTTTCTGTATGTGGACTTATACAGCTGTATTTCTCGACAAGGCACAGCAATGTGTGAAGATTGTTGTGAGGGGATATGGGTTATGTAGCTGTTTTCTTCTGGGTGGTTTGCTTTCTCCCTCCTTTTTTGCTCTGTTCCAGTCCAGTCTCTTTTCCAGTTTTTAGCCTAGAGCTGGCGCTGACTCTCCTTCCTCAGGCAGCTTTCTGGACCATCCACAGTCACAGCATTCCTTGCTAGGGGAAGTGGAGAAAATAGAAGCCTTCACAACTGTTGGAGAAGAGGAGGGGATGGAGAAAGAGGGAGAGAGAGAGAGAGAGAGAGAAAGAGAGAGAGAAAAGAATTTTGCAGTGAGATGAGACTCTGTGAAAGGCAACGCTATGATTCAGCATGACAAACAACACGGCTCACTTCCTAATATGACAGAAGGGAAATTTGGGATCAGCAATCACTGAGAGCAAGAGGGTGGGTTAGGGAAAGAGACAAGGGCTTGGGGCTTGCTGTGTGGGGCAGCCGGGGTTGGGTCTTCTTTCTGTAAAAGACCACCCTCCCAAGAAATAGCAGGTTCTGTGAAAAAGGAAGAGATGAGCACAGAGATACGGAGAAAATGCTAAAAATGCAGCCCACACACAGGCAGCAGAGGGAGTGATGGAGAAGTGCGGGCATCACATCAGAGAGATTTAAAAGGAACCTCCCTGCTACACAGCCGTGAGGACAGAGCTCCCTGTTGCTTATTGTACATTCTAAGCAGTCTCCCCGCCCCCCCCCCCCCCCCCCCCCCCCACAAGACAGGAATGTACCTGGCTGGGAGAGACAGGACTGCAACTGATCCTTCATGCACAAGAGAAAAAAAAGGGGAGGGGGGGAAGAACTTAACACTGCGGCTATAGATAGCTAATGCAAACCAGCCCAGGTTCTGGTGCTCTCCCCTCCTCCTCATGCCTTTCCACTCCCCAACCAGAAAGTAAGGCGGCTTAGGAGAAGGGCTGCAGCTCCAACTACAGAATTCAAGCATCTCCCAACCAGTCACCACCAGCCCCCTCTGGATGTAGGCTCCAAGCAAGCAGCAGGCAGGAGACAAAAATAAACTCTCAGACAACCTCCCCCCTTCTTTCCCCAAGACCACAGCACACACAGTTGAGCAGAAACCCAGAAGGGTGTGTGTGTGTGTGTGTGTGTGTGTGTGTGTGTGTGTGTGTGTGCAGACCCAAAGAAACTCACTGTAGATTCTGGTTTTCCTACTACTTTAAAGGATAGAGGGGCTGAACACCAGCTCTCCCCCTTTCTCCAATCAGTGCTCCCCACATTCACAGACTGTCCTGCATGCACTTCACACACTTATATTCACCCCTATTTCACAAGGTGGCCTCCATCTCTCGTTCCCTCTGCGGTTGAAATCGTTCCCAAGGGCAGGTTTCTTCCAGGGATTTTGCAAACGTAGGGCAAGACTACAACTCCCATCGCCCCAGCCAAGATGGCAGTGGCTACGAAGGCAGCTATTGAAATCCTTACACTTCTGGAGAGTTCCAAGGTGAGAGCTTTGCTTGAGAGTTTAAGCCAGGAAGGGCAAAGGGGTGGGTAGGTGGGTGGGAAAGCCGGTACCTCCCCAAGCACAGATGGGTGCAGAAAAAGTAACTGTCCCAGAAAAGCATTTTACTTTATTGGGCTTCGATACTGTTTAAGTAGAGGAGTCCTCAAAAGAACCAGAAGGGGTAGTAGCCCTATCATCCCCCACATGACCTGGCCGGAAACTTTCAGGGTATCAGAAGGAGAAGCAACAACCTTTGCTTCACAGCCGCCCCCGCTTGGACGGGAGGACAAGCAGCGGTCCCAAATAAACTTCGAGCCCGGGACTGCACGACCTTTCCCAGCCAAATGCAAACAGAGGGAACCGAGCACCTCAACCGGCACTGCCCGCGCCCTGGGGCGGCTCTTTGCTCCACGCCACAGACATCCGCCAAGCTCCTCTCCGCCCCCCCGCCGCCCCACCCCCCCCCCCCCCCCGGCTCTGCGTCCTTCGAGCCCCGCGACAGCCTGGCGTCCCCGGCTCCATGCCGGGAATCCCCTGGCGCTCGGGTGGCTCCTTTGAGGGACGAGAGTCAGGACGCCGCAGAGCAAGGGCGCTCGCCCGCCTCCCCGCCCGCCCCCCTCGCGCTATGCGGAGCGCCCACCTGGCTGCCCCGCGCCCTTCTCGCCGGCCGTCCTTCTTTTGCCGGCTTCGGCTGAGCCTTTACTGAAGAAGAGGAGGAAGAGGAGCCGGCGACGGAGGTGGCGGAGGAGGAGGTGGCGGCGGCGGCGCCTGGCGGTGCCCGGGCAGGGCCATGGCGAGCCCGCGCACCAGCGAAGGCGACCCCGGCGGCGCGGCAGCAAAAGAGCGGCGCTGCGTCCGGGCGCGCCGTCGGACCCGCGTCTCTCTCTCTCTCTCCCCGCCTGCTTCTCCTGCACAAGTGAGCCGCGCGTCCAGAGGAGCCCCCGCTCCTCACATGCTAGTCATTAGCATAGCCCATGACGTCATGGCCTCGGCAGCGGAGGTGCAACGCCCCCTCCCCGAGGAGCAGGGGGCGCCTCGCATTCCTCCGCCGCTGACTCAGCCCCAGGCGAGGCGAGGCCGTGGTGGCTTTGCGCGGGGCGCGATTGGCTGCAGGGGCGGAGCGCAACTCCAGTCCACCCCAGCCGGGAGCGCGGCAGAGGAAGAGGAGGAGGAGGAGGGGCTCCAGCTGCTCGCTGCTGCTGTCATTCCCCCAAGCCAGGCGACTTTGCATTGGCGAAAAAAGGCGGCTTGTTGCGCTTCGTCTCGCGCGCCCGCACTTTTGCAGCCTTGCGAAGGACACGCCCGTCCGCAAAAGCCCCCTGCTAGCCGTAGATGGTCGACATGGATCGCTGGCCGCTTCTGGCCCAATGCCTCTGCCTACAGGTTGGTTCTCCTGGGTTGCACATGGCTCCGAGAGGTCCTACTTCCCTCTCCCACCGCCCCCCTCGACATGGTGTTTTGCAAAAGCAGGCCGCTAAACAACAACAACAACCCCACACTGCCTCCCGCCCTTAACACAAACCTGGTCTTGAACGAGTGAGCGGTAATGAGGTACGAGGGAGAGTTTTCGTGCGTGCCGAGAAAGAAATCCCACCAAAACCTCCCAGCAACATCGGAGTGCCCCCCTCTAAACGTTGCTGCATTGCAGATTGTGCTTCTCTGGTTTAAGATCAGGAGATATGTGCGGGGGTTGCAAAGAAGTCCACACACGTCCTAACGCACCCAACGAACGGCTGGCGCAGACCTGCACGACTATCCCAGGCTTCTCACGCTGCAATAGGTTAGCCCGGGAAAGAGAACACCTGCATCAGGTGTGTGTGTGCAAGCGGGCGGGCGCTTGCTTGCCTGCGTAGGGAGCGAGGTGAGAGCTTCGTGCCTGCTGATAGTCATTCATAACTTCCATAAAGGGGGTGTTTTGTTACCAGCTTCCTAAGATGATGGGCGAGAGAGGACTGCAGATTTGTACCACCTTAGGAACATCTAGAGTGGTTAAGAATTACATCAGCGAAACCTATGAGAAGCTGTATAGACTTTTGTCTGCAAAGCCAGACTGTTACTCAAGGTTCCAAGACAGTCTTATATTGTAATAATACTCCCAAGATACTTTATCTACAGCCGGCTCATAGTCCCTTCTAGCTTTATTATCTTTTGTCCTCAGAGACTCTGCCAACTTTCTTTGCTTGATCTATGGCTATGCCATGTTCCAGTGACGAGGGAGAAGGATTTCTAGATTTTTCAGGGCAATGTTTCTCAGTCATCAAGATGCATTAATGTTCTTACAAGCGATGTGTCTGCTGATTAATCCAGTGCTGCTCAACCTTATTCTCTAAACACCTTGGTTGTGGCTTTTAGGCTCTTTTGATATGTGCCACCAAATGCTTCTAGCGAATGTAAAAAAGACAAAGTTGAAATCCGTAAAGAGAGGGGAACGGTGATCATATTAACTGCACATAATTGGTTACCTTCTGTTTAATCCATTGTATTTTTTGTATCAACTTTCTGGGATGCAGCTAATGTGTCTCTTCACCCCACAAGATTGTGCACCATTGCGCAGGTTCGATGATAGCTCTCTTCCTGTTAATTGAAATAGGAAAACACAACACAACTAATTGTGGTTTTGTTTGTAGCCTTTTTCCAATTATACTACTAAAAACACTTGAGCATACAAAACAATTCCTTAAATCGTTTAAATAAGTCACTCTGAGTAGCACAATAATCTCTTTGTTCAATTGACACAGTAGACCTGCTTTCACTGTGTTTGGCTCTAGGGCTCTGCAGCATTTTGGATCTGAAGGCAAAATGGTGTTTCACCTATTTGGTTTAAAGAGTTGTTGACAAGGGCTACCTTGACACTTTTTTATACTTTAAATATCTTTCCCCTTCAGATACTGTACACAGCTCTGCAACAGCCCTTTTGGATTTCTGATGGGGGAGATCAGATCTTCATTAATCTTTTAAGCTACCCATATCTTCAAATAAGACTATTCCAGGGTGAGAAAAGGCAGGCTAGAGGCAAGATGTTACAGGGACATACGTTCAGTTCACTAATAGGTACATGTTTCCTTCCCATCTCACATAGCAACATGGGGAGAAAGAAAGAGAGGTGGATGCATGGATGAATGCATGGATGGATGTAAGTTTTAAAATCACCTTTTGGGTAAATGGATAACTGTTCTTTCTTGAATTATAAGACATGTGGATGAACAGCTTCACCTGTGTAGCTTTAAGGAGTGGCTCTGACTGACTGCTTTGCTAGTCCAAAACCAGAACAACCTGCAAGAGAAGGGTTTTGCCACATCTCTTCCTGGAGAATAGAGATAAAGCCTGAATTGCAATAAACCTATGGAGGGCAAAACCTGAAAAGATAATTCTTAGGCATATTTGTGGGGGGAAATTATTTTTTAGAATCTACTCCTAGTAAGATTTTGTGAGTCTTACAGAAACAGAGTTATTCTGCAAAGCAGAAGTCTGTTGTTACTGTTTATTATTCAATTTCTATAGCCCCCAACTCACCCAAGTGACTCTCGGGGGGCTTATAATTCTAAAATTATAAAACAAAACAATAAAAAACAGTAAAACACCCAGAAAATTAATATTTATTGCTGGTCAGCCTGGTCTCCATTCACATCAAAGATTGTACAGCAGGCTAAGAGCTGGTTTTTAATCAGAAAATATTGCATGTAATATTCTATTTATTTGTTAGTAATGGTCTTAAAGACCACTTCCTAGGTGATGATTGGTTTTACTGGGTGCACTCCAGTTTTTCAAAGCCTTCTTGATCTGAGCTGCAAAATAAAAAAATGAGTTTTTACATTTATTTCCATCTACTGATTGTCTGAATTTCTGCAGTTCAGATTTGGTGCTCCTGCTTCTTTCTCATACACATTCAGACAATCAAAATGAAAGACAGGGATTTACAAAAAGATTGCATGGTTCTCCCCAAATCCATGCTTTGTATGTCATGTTTTAGAAATTAAAAAGAAACAATTCTTTTAAAAAAAAAACAAAAAAAACAACCGAGGTGGCCTGATTAGGGTAAGAATAGGACAGGGTAGCTTGGCATTCCACTTCTGTTTTATTCCCTCATTACATCCCCATGCCATTTGACTCATTTAAGTCCCCCCAGAATTAAACTGATATTCTTTGTTATTTTGGGGGTGACCCTGACCCACATTTCTTAACTCACAATGAGTTTTCAAGGGCCCATATGAGTATTCAATGTAAACCCGGGAAACGTGTGCTATTAATTCCCTTGTGAAATATACAGGAGAAGTCTGGAAACACTTTTTAAAACAAATTTTACTGAAAGTTTTTGTGAGCTGCAGCTCACTTCATCAGATGTATACAGCAAGCAGCAGCTTATGAAGACCTATACTTTTCCATCAAAATCATGAGTTGGAAATGGTGCTTCTAGCCTCTTCTCATTTTTGCCACCATAGGCTCTAACAATAATTCCCTTACGTTTCATCTCTATCATCTGATAGTCAAAAGCATATTTGAAAATTGAGACTTTTGATTTCATAACTGGCTAACTTTCAGTTTCCCCAATTTCTTTTCTAAATATCAAATTAAAAACTATATTTTGGGGACTGTCTGAAAAAGATTATTTAAAAAAACTAGTGTATGTTTAACCAACCTAAAAACCAAAGTTCTAAAAAAAAACACAGAAAAAAACCACCAGCAGATGGAAAGGTTACCCACATTTCCCCACTGGTCCTGAGATTTCCTGCTTCAGTTTTGTATTATGGATTAATGCAGATAGAAAAATGGGTGCTAGTGTGTGAGCCTCCTCCACATTCCACTGCAGTGATTTCTGCAGGATTTTTAGGAATGCATTTTGTAAGGAGTTCTCAGATTGACCTTGTTTCCTTGAGTCAGACTAGCCTAGGAAGAGAATGGAAAACTAAACCACACCTATGCATTCCTAGGAAACAAGAGTTCACTGCTAGAGTACATGCTTCGCATACGAATGTATTTAATCCCTGGAACTTCTCTTTAAAGGGTTCTAAGATTCCAGAATATTGTGATCAATCAGTACTGATTGTTTTGGTCTTGGCAATTCCATACGGTCGGGACTATGGACAAGACTTCTTGCTTGGCTTCTAATGAAAATTGTTTTGTAGCTTTGGGTAGAGTTGCTGGTTAGTTTTCCTTCCTTGAATTAATTGTAGTGGGAACAGGATAAACAGTTCAATGATAAAGCCATGCTTTGGACTTAGATTCAGTTCTGGACTCTTCTCCAGATAGCAATGGATAAGCAATAAGCAATGTGAGGCTGCCACAAAGAAGAGGGGATCAACTTCTTTTCCAAAGCAACAGAAGGCAGGACAAGAAACAATGGATGGAAACTAATCAAGGAAGCAACCTGAAATGAAGGAGAAACTTCTTAATAGTGAGAACCACTAACAAGTGGAGCAGCTTGCCTCCAGAAGTTGCGGGTGCTTCATCACAAGGTTTTTAAGAAGTGACTGACAGCCACTTATCTGAAATGGTACACTGTTTCCTGCATGAATGGAGTTAGACTTCTTGGCTAGGGGATATATGAACCAAGGTTCTTTGATCCAGGTTGTAAGGAATAGGGAAGGGAATTACCAGGCCCACTAGTGGTATTAATCCTCTTTTCTTTGCGTGTAACAATTTTATCCTGATCATAGTTATCTAGTGCTTGGAAAATAAATGTGTTTAACTGGATTCATACATCATACTAAGCCAGCTTCTGCTTTGCTAGGGCTTCTGAAATAATTCGCAATTGTCTGGGATTCAACTATCAAGCTAAGCCATAAGCATTGGTTACAAACCACAACTAAGTTTGCAATGCATGTGACATCACTCCCTCCCCCTTGCTCCCATGGCAATCTTCGCAGCCAAGAGAGTATTGCAGATAGTTTGGCCTTCAGCAGAAAAAAAAAGTGTGTTCCAGATAAGTTAAGACAAAAAAAAAACCTGGTGTT